GTTACCCCATTTTACGGTATCCTCTCGTAATACTGATGGGCGTCAATAAAAGCATTAGAATTGGAGATAACTAGAGAGCTTAAGATACGGTTTTTCTCTTTACAGCAGACTCTAGACAGAATTTCGGGCTTCTCTGCGGTCTGTAATACAGTAGAATATTATTCAGTGGGTAAGGAGAGTAACCGGTCATGCCCCACCTCTAAATGGAGTGCAGAACGAGCCTAAAGTTTCAAATAAACTCCAGTCTCCGCGATCCTTGAAGCTCACTAATACTTAACTTTAGCAGTTATTTATTATCGACGAATGCATCGCAGGCGAAATTTTAATCGATAAACTGCAACTTTCGGAAATGAATTTCCACATAATATTTTCAGATTTTTTTTGTTAACCGTGGAAGAGCAAACGTGCAAAGAGGCAGTCCCATCTCACTTTAACTTCCTTTTTTATTTTTTAAGATAAAGATAAAATAAAAACTGAAAGGAAAATCCCAGGGCGTGCCTTGGGAGGCACGGATGCATTCACTCGAGAATTCTCGGGCATGATAGTCGATCGATTAAGCTTCGGTTCATGAGCTCTTTTAGATTGCACTCTTGGCCTATCTGCCGTCTTCCTTGCCTCCACCTCGATATTCTACAACGCAATTGATGGGGAAAAGCCAAAACGTTTCATCTGCAGTACGTCCCACAGTTTGTTCATGTGTCTCTTATAACACAATAGCTGAAGCTCACTAATGGCCGAGGTTCAAAGCTTCGTCTCAATCTCAACTGCCAAGGGACTTTAACTCGAACAGGAGTTCCATATAGGCTAATTACATGATATCATTGGCTCTTTATTTAAAACATATATGGCAAAAATATGTTCATATCATGTTTATTCATGTCATTTAGAGTCCCTTAGCTACTTTCAGCCAAGTACGGCGCATATGTAGTCAAATACTGTATGTCCAAATACATCATATGCATACGACAGTATTTGGTAGTGCCGTACGGGTATTTATCCCCTCCAGCTAGGTATGATTCTCTAACAAGCTATTTTACATCATTAGCTAACTGATTCGACTGCCTCTTAGCTAAATGCCTTTTCATGACTATTAAGATTCCTTTATCTAAAAGACAGTAGAAGAATCGACCCTGAATCTTGTCTCTCCACTCGATCTGATCCGTTCCATGTCTCGTTTTACGCTCTCCTGCCGCCCTTCACACGCTGAAAATGTAGGTCGGATTGTCTAATCGATGCTACTGCCTTCGGATACACCCTTTGATGCACGTGGGAGAGAAGCGCAGCAGGTAATACTTTTCGTTTAATACTTAGTTTCTATGCGTGTTAAAGAATGATGGAGTCTCAGCCGGAACCGGGCATCAAAAAGACCAGGACGACACCCGGACTTCCTTTCTCTCCTCACAATGTCAATACAATCGGATTCCAGGAAATCCCAAGTCACTAAATGAGTCATAGTCTTGGTAAAGCGGCGAAATGTGCTAGTGAGAGCACAAAGAAATAAGAGCGAAAGGAATTCATGGACAAGATCAGTCATGGGAAAAAGAGGGTCATCAACCCTCTTATGGACAAGTACGATGGGGGAAAAAAAAAATTCCCAGAAATTTCGCTGCACATCCTCTTTGGCCTTGATGACTGGATCTTTCCCTCACTTTCTTGCCAAGAATGGGGCAAGGGGGCATGCAGAGAAGGAGAGGGTGTCACAGGCCCATGAGCAACCCAGCCCATTGTGTGTTCGCACCAGATGGATATCTAGGACTCTCACTTGAACTATAAACCTCCCTCCCTCCCTCTTTCCCTCGTACTCAGATTCATTTCATGCTTTCTTATGGAGATTGACTTAATACGAGTCGGGCGAGGCTGTGTCTGTATGCTTCGATGTGCATGTTCTTCGTTTCGTGCGAGAGTGACCCCCTGCACCAGTGAGCCAGATCCTTGGGAGCTTGAAATGTGACGGTGTAAAGTGCTTTTGTGACTGACATACCGTTTTATTTCTCACTGGAGTGACGATGGCGAGGAAAACGAAGGGGAGGCCAATTTGACGACGTTCGCCTCTTTCTATCCCCAGGCAGCGCGAATACATTTTATACATTTTACGAAAGGCATCAACGTTTCTGTGTGCATGCATTTTTGTCTCGTTAGAGAGTGAAGGAAAATGCATGTTCAGTTGCAGCAGTTCCCTGGCATCTTGGAATTGTTGCAAATCGAGATGACCGCTCATGTATGATCTCTTTGGCATATCATTCACTGTGTGCTGGCAAATGAGGGGACTGCAGTCTATATGCAAATAAGGGGAAAGGGGGGGAAATTTGGGTGAATTTACTTCCTGCACATACAAACAAGACCGCAAGTAGTGCTTGAGGGCTAACGTCAGGCTTCTAAAGTGGAAATAGTCCATAAGCTCCTCTACTTTCTTCTGCTGAGAGGCACACAAAAAGGAACATGAAGCTGCGGAAGTGAGGTTTTGCATAATTGACCGCGATTTAGCCACCATCGGGTCAGACATTCAACGTCCTTATCGACGAAGCCAATAACGATTGGATAATGAAACCGCTAACCGAAATGCAAGGATTCGTGTCATTCTCTTTTCATGGCGACCTCATTAGAGAATCCTGGTCATCGTATCATGCAGCTTCTCACCTCCAGTTTAGCATGACACGTAATTAAAGATCGCTGAGGAGGAACCTCCATCACCGTTACGTTCTCCATATTGGAGACTATCAGGAAAGCTGCCGGGACGAAGCATGCAATTAGCTCCATTTGAGAGGAGGGATTAGATGGGCTTGGCAATGTCACATAGGCGAGTCAAACTACGGGCTCAACTTTCTCCAATCTGTCATTTTCCACTTCTCCAACTAAATTTGACGTTTCCAAAGAGCAGAAAGTTCTTTTTCTTCAGTTTCCCTCCAGTGAACATGAACTGAGCCCACTCCCTCCTCAGTTGTTCTGAATTTTGAATAGAGCAACCCCTGTGCTTTCGACTTAGCGTTTCTTTTTGGAGCGAGCAGGAAGGGGGAGGGGGGAAATAATTCATTTCCCCGGGAAGTCCGCGATATAATTCCATATTCTCGTAATTGCTGTAATTTTTTCTTTTCTCACGGAGACACAGACATCGTCCCATTGGACGATTATATGGATCCGGAAGTGTCATCACTTTTCAATCATGATCAATGGAGGTGTGGATCGTTGTATCTTCTCCTTTTCCCTCATCGCGGTCCGTCGTCCGAAGAGGGAATTTTCCGCTTCCCTGGCTTGTCCTTGAACCCCTTCCAAGATGTGGGGCTTGGGAGCCATTTTCCGCACCATCAAGGCTTGTAATTGCTGTCCAAATGGCGTGTCCCTTTTCAACCTGTTCCACTCTTCAGGCTTTTGTTTCTTTTTCGAAATCAGGAGCTTGTAAAAAAAAAAAAAAAGGAAAAAGATGAACCTTGTCCTGAGAAATAACCGTGCATAGACCTGGAATGACTCCGACAGCAAAAGGAAGAAGAAGTGGATATAACGGTCCGTATCCCGAGCATAATCAATCTTCTTTCTCGAAATTCCTGCCCTATCAAGCTCGGTGGGAAGAGAAACCGGGGTTTTCCCGCAATTCAGTGTATCACCGGTTGACCGGAAGTGCAGGGTCTTGGGAATGCAGTTGAGGACGAAAACTCGGGCATTACGAGCTTGTTCCCCGTGGCTTAATTTAGGCCATTCGTGGCCGATGAAGTATGACACTCGTTTATTGTTTTTAGTCCCCTCCTACCTCCCGGGTTCAGAAAGTGTTCGTATGTAACCGGGTGCGACCCCCTGATCCTTCATCAGTGCATTTCCTCTTCCGGCCAGGTTCCAGACTTGCTGTATGCCTTTCTATCCTAGTTGAAATATTTTCCCAGTGATGAGTGATGAAGATGATTAACACGAAAGGCATTCAACAAGCTTGACCACGAACGTTTATGACATGTGTTCTCGTGTATTTGATCGATGGTATCGGGTGTATGTGGTGACCCAACAATCGGTGAGTTGCTTCGGATGTTAATAATCTGCCGACGGAATGAAAAATTATGATCTTGTCAGAAAGGCTCACCGTTCGATTCCGAAGAGCGGATGCAGGAGCCAGTCTGAAAAACACTGTTTAGAAAGAAGGAAAATGTTCCCCCTTTTTCCTCAGTCCAAGAGATTAATTTAGGACTTGGCGAAGACCAATAGATACTTATCGCTTACTACCATATGAAAATATGTTCGTGTACGAAAGTAGGCTTTCCCCAATAATCAAGGTACGAATGACTCTGGAACCTCTCATTCAAGACAACAGTAGATCTTCTATGAGGCATTATAATTTTGTAGTTTTTTTTTTTACTGTTTAAGCAGGTTCGGCGAAAAAAAAGCCCTGAGTTTGACAATAAATTCGGAGTGCCTTCTCAGTGCAAAGTTGTAGCATAAGGAACAAACGCAGTCTATTTCAAGCTCTCTTTACGAGGTAACTCTGTTCCTCAAACTTAGTCTTTGAGTTATACGGCAGTTTGAACGCAAACAGTTTGTCTGCTGCCTCCACTAGACTTGAGATAGCGGGTCTGCTGCGGCTCCGTTTTATGGGTTCTAAATTCTTACAATTGCCAATTTGTCTGTTCCATTGACAATAGCTCTTCACTCGAAGAGCTGGTCAATCGCGTCACCTTGCTCGTCATTCACTGTCTGCAAATGCCTCTGGGACTCGTCAATGGTTTTTCTCAGAATTCTAACGGGAAGGGAATCCCAGGCCTGCTGGAGACACACCTTCAGGTGATTCAGGTTCTCAATCGGTTCCCGACAAACCTTCTCCTGAAGTGCAACCTAGACACTGTAATTGGGAAGCTTGAGATCGGGGGAGTTTGGCGGTCATTTATTCGGGTGTTCATTCTTTCTCTCTCGAGCAAAGCGATAGTCGACTGAGCGACGTGATAGCGAGCTCCATCTTATTATTGCTTGATGAAGTCCTCGCCACTGACAGCCCGGATGTGGTTGAAAAGCGGAGCCAGAATTTGATGCTGGTATGTGGGAACGTAAGCCGTTCATTCTGTTCAATTACGACGAAACGTGTCTTTCCAGTTCTGAAGCAGCACCACTGACCGTGACACTGGCTGCGAACTTCTTGATCTCTCGAGTGAGCCGGGCTGAGAGAATATGAGGTGGTTTCACGCTAGTGTCACTGGAGTATTAATTGGGTATGCCACATGAAGAAATTTCTTATCTGAAAACCAGACTAATAAGATTTGTCGGTGTTGCATCTATTGAAGGATTTTGCAACTCACAAAAGCTTGTTTCGTTTGGTTAGCAGCTGCACGCTTCTCCCTTGAAAAATGCGTCAGGAGTTGTTTATGATCCTTTTACTCCTCATTAGCTCCTTATTCCTTCGTGTTTCTCGATTACTTATGGAGAGGAACGACCTTCCTGGCTTGAGATCTGGTCATCTACATCCTCCATGTTTTCATCAGTCCGAACTAATCCGCCTGGATCATTTCTCCCACTTCCTGGCTTCCTTGCCGTTGTGCCCGTTGAATTTCTTGAGTGCACGATGAACGGTGCTCTCCGTACAGTTCTTTTGATGCAGGAAAGCCACAATTCAATTTGCTTCCCATCTGTGCTCATGGTGGAGAACGAGAATTATGACTCGGTCACCAGGGCTCAGCTGAGGCATGTCTGAAGCAGGCCAATAACAGCCACTCGAGGAGTTGTTTTGAAGTTTGACAGAATTCACCAAAGCTAGGACCTGGACGTCTTTCATCTGTCATGGCTTTGTGATAATCTGATATTCCAAAAGGTAATTCCTCCAATAAGATCATGAGGTAAACTTTTGGATGATGTATGATATGTTTCACTTTCTGCGTTTTTGGTACTTCGTTTTGGCTGTGGAACTCCGGGTTGTTGTTTTTTTTGTTGACCCACCTTTTATGTAATTGTCCGGCGGAACTAAGCAGCTAGAGATCTGTTTCCCTTCCTCCTTCCATTTCCTAACTGGGGGAAAGTTGCAGCACTCGTTGGTTGTTACTGTAATACTTTCAATTCAAACAACGATATTGGACGATTTACTTCGTTTAGAATGTAAACAACACGGTCAATCAACTGGTGATTTGATTCGACCCAACAGCCAGCGTTTAACTCCTAGAATTCTACATTAATTCTCTCATTATTGCAGGATGGATCATCAGAAGGGATCTACTCCTACGATGTGTCTTCAGATTCCCGATACCAAAGATGTGGATCGAATTTGTGTGAACCTGGTCGAGGAGGACGAGAGGTCGGTCTCATTCTCCTCGTCCTCGTCCTCACAGCCATCGCCATCGGCGGTCTCTTCCTCGTCATCTTCTTCGTCTTAGCCGGCAAGTTTTAGAATTTCCATCCATGCCGTCACCAATTTACAAGGTGTCAAGAAGGTAGCGTAAGATAGGAATATCCCTCCCCTTTCTGCTCGAAGCATCGTATTCGAGTCTCTTGTGCTGTAATAAACCAAAAAAAGTTGGACGATGTTAATAATGCTATGTAGGACTATTTGATGCATCGTGTAGTTGCTGATGGATCTCAATTTTAGTATTGATCATAAGGCGAACCTATTGGGTGAGGATGCGCGACTTCTTTGACCTGCATATATTAAAGATAGTCAAAGTAATGATCATAGTCAAAGAAATTATCACCGTACATTTGGCTCTTATGCAGAGAACGACGGAGGGAGTGCAGAGAAGATGATCCTCGAAGACAACATCGTGAACATCAACACTGAAATCCTAGATGAAGCTAACGGTAGTTGAACTCCACGGATATGATTTCCTCTCCCTTTCAGTCCCCTGACATGATTGAATGTGACGGTAAGACGTACGTCAGCCGGCACTGAGCTTCTTGCATTAGCATGCTGGATTAGGCCTGCAGCCTTACTGTGAGGTTGAACTATGAGTTTAAGCTTTTTTTTCAGTTCATCCAGCAGACAGTAAGCAGATTGCGACTACGAACCCCTTTTATTTCGGTCATGTGTTACTGTATTAACCCTAAAGATGCTAAATCTTTGAGGGTGAATATATTTCAGGGAGAGGAAAAGACGTGCTAGCAGCCGGTTTAGGAGGGGTCTTGGAAGAGGAGAAACCGAAAGAAAAAGATAAAGAGCCAAAAAGTCCGGACAGGAAAGAAGAGGCGTCTGTGCAAGAGATAGACGAAGGCGGGCAATTGAAGAAAGAAGACCAAATCTCCAACAGCATTCAAGCCTCTCCACCGAAGCTACCCACTCAGGAGCCTTCGGGTAATTGTACCCGCTGCCGTTGCTCACAGAAGCTGCAACACAGGCGTAATCAGAGTTCCCTTGAGGAAATATATATTTTTATTTGTCTGCAGAGGACAAGAGCGAACCAATGACAGAAGAGGCAAAGACTAGGGGGAACTCGAAGGGGGAGGAAGTGAAACCGGTGGTGAAAAATGTGAAGACGGTCGTTGAGCCTCGTCTCGAGGACGAGGAGAAGAGGCTCTTTCAAGAGGACAAGGGAAAAGGAAATGAGCAATCACAGGATTCCCAAGGAACTGGTAGTCGAATCCAGACTCCTTGGTGGGCCAGTCGGGATCACATCAGTGAGTCCTCTCTTTCTCTTCGATTTTTTGTTGGACAAGACTCGAGAGAGGGTTTCGAGAACGAGGTCTTCTCCCCATCTCAGTACCTGGGTTATACAGGGACCGTTATTGCATAATTAAGACAAGGAAACAGCTGGGAAGGATCGTGAATGAATTCGGAACGGCTAGAGTGAAACAGATGATATGACGTCTGTCCATCACAGCTGTATGTCATTGATCGTCCTGGAGTCGCGAACTCGTACAATCAATGAATGAACGGATAAATGGATGAATGGTAGAAAAGCACGTGAAAAAAGAATGAATGACTCATAGACGGATGAGTGAAGGGTGGAACCGGAAGCTGCGAGAGAGGAGACAGAGACGGGGGTCAAAAGGTCACAGCCGTACCACCCGCGCGATCCTAGTGCCTTCAAAAATAAGGGTGGAAAAAAAAATAAGATGAAGCGCATGGACATACAGGGATGACATTCATGTAGGACAACGAATACCGGTTTCAAGCTTGTGAATACCGTACTACCTGTCCGACTGGTCATCTCCACTATGTCCCATTTTTTTCATCGTCTCGATCGATGCACGTAACTGTTGACCTTAACGTCAGAGAGGGCTGTAGGCGGAAAGAATGAAGACGCTGCCCGGCTTTTGCAGGCACGACGACGAGGACTTGGAGCAAACCCATGGATTACGAAGAGTACGAAGATGAGAATAACTTACCGTCGACGGAAGCGCCTTTACAGTCGGAAGAAAAAGAATCCAAGAAACCGGCTTTTCCATTCTGGTTTGGATGGGGGAACGATTACGAAGAAAGCTATGACGGTAAGACGAGCAGTTATTTCAACGTGACCCTATGACGTTCATTCATTCATTTATTGGTAATGCTCTTGTGAACTGTAGAGGGGGAAGGGACGGAATCTGGGTTCCCAGCTAGAGTGACATCCGTGAAACCACCTCCGAGTCCTTCCACCTTTTCCCCAGTCGAGGTAAGCCCTTGCCTCTTAGCGCTCGTGCGCGGAAAGAGAATCTCGTGGAAAAATCCCGTCCCCGTAAATGCAATAGGTCCAGAGAAAGACAGCGACTTTGATCAAGCCACAGATGGAGACGCACAAGCCGATGGAGGAGCAAGTGAGGACGACGACTCCATTGACCCTCAGCTCCGAGCCCAGGACTACAACCGAGCCTGACAGATTTCACGGCAAGGTCACTTCCGGCTTTCGGCCCACTTTCGGAGGTCTGTTCCAAATCAAGATCTTACCTCGTGCGATATCGAAATCCGGTCAGAATCCAGACAGACGAATCTCATTCGAATATCGATGCAGAATATTCGTTCCACGTTGATAAACCTAACCAGATGGATTTCGAGGCGAATTTTGGAGAAACGATGACCGTAATCACTGCCTCAGTGAGCGTGTTGGGCAGATAAGGGATTAAGCTATCCGAGGGAATAAGAACGTCTGCAGTTGGCGCTATAAGTGCTTAAAATTTTGATCGCGAAAAATGTTCAAGACTTTTAAAGGATAGTACATACAACTGAACGTTGACATTAAAAATTTTCTGGATTCTTTCCGTAGATGTTTGAATCAGAATTGCCTGAATTCAACCACGATTCGAACCGCTTTCCACGATTTACCGAATCTCTCTGAACTGGGATTCAGATGAAATTCGAACAGAATTTCGATTCGAGATTGAGCATGCAGCATTGAGATTTTGGATTTTCAGGGATCGAGGTGATCACGCCACCCAGCTTGGGGCCCCGAAAGGACGAGGCACTGACGGACGAAGAGAGAAAAGATCCATCCGATCCAGCTTATGATGACGATGATGACCTTTTCATGGAAATCGTCGTCGGGGGAAGTCAAGGAGGCCGGGGAGACCAGTTCCACAAAGACGAAGAACTGGGGATCTTCACCGGCGTGAAGAACCCGGATTGGGTCCAAGAAGGACAGAGCATCGCTCCGTCTCCACAATCTGTGCCGGTAATTATTCCCAACAATCATCTGCGTTTCTCGACTTGTTAAGTCGTAAGAGGAAAAGCAAAACACAACTTGCGAATTGCATTTGCAGCCGTCAGGAGAACTGCGCCCACCAGTTCCTGTCCAAGATTGGCCATTACCAGCAAGGCCAGTTCAAGCACAAGAACAAGGACGAGAAGAAGATGAAGACGTGGAGAGACCTTCAGAGGAATTCCAGCCTCCGCCCATTCGACCCGACTATGTGAACAGCTCCACACTGCGAACTCCGACTAGAACATCGGAATCTCCTCTTCGACCGACCTCGAACAGACCACTCCCTGAATCCAACTTGGAATTGGAGGCATTTGGACCTCTTCTTCAGTACTTTGGGACCAATCTCCTGCCGCCGGTTCTCAGACCTCAAAACGGCATCGATGCCGAAGAACCGCTTCCCGTCGACGAAGCTCTCGAAGAGGACGAACTCAAGGAGAACTTGCCGAAAGAGCTGATGAGACAAGGCGTAGGGCCTCACAACCAGATTTTGAGGCCCAGGAGGAAAGGTGAGGTTCCTCGATATAGCCCTATGACATGTTCGGGTAAAATGTAGTCACCGTGGAATCATGAATGCGAAAGCATTTGCCTACTGTCGATGATTTTTGCAGGCCGTTGTCTGCCCCGAGCCCTGCCGTTCTGCAAGCAAGTCTTGGCTTATCGGTTTACCAGCTACCCGAACCTCCTGGGATATTCGAACATGGGACAGAGTCAAGCAGATGTCCCATTCTTCTCCATTCTCACCACATCTCAATGCAACCCTGCCATTCATAATTTTGTCTGCAGCCTTCTGGAGCCAAAATGTCAAGGACAGGTTCAAGTTCAGCTTCCTCCCTGTCGCCGGTTCTGCCAAGGTGAGAGACGGCGTCTCCGCCGAGTCTTTAAAGAGGCTGTTGCTCGTGTGATACGAGTCTGTTGACGATTGCAGTGGCGACTGAGGGGTGCGAGGTGTACATCGGAGCAGAAGTAAGGATGGCGCCTTTATTCAATTGCAATCGATACCCAGACTCTCAGGATCCCAACATCTGCGTCGGAGTTGGTAAGCCGTTGCATTTTGAGCGTTCTCTCCCATTTGGGCTCGATTCCTTGACACAAGTGGTTCAAATTGGCGATTGTCGTGTGGTATAGGTTTCCCCGAACCGAGACGTCCGATGGGGGATATACCAGTCCGTCCCCAGCCAGTCCAATTGCCTCCACCGAGGAGGATGGAAAGACCTTTCGGCAGGAGAATGGGTCGTCAGTTCACCTTCCCGACGGAGGAAGAGATTCAGGAAGAAAGGAGAAGACCCACGGAATGGCTTGGCGGTTTCAGACCACTAGAAGAAGCTATCAAAGAGGTGGGAAAGTGATCTCGATCTTTGAGGAATCTCCAAGGAATGTCTTTGACAGAGATGTCGTGAATATAGGAAGAGGCATTGGAGGCCGAGGCGGCCGGGGTTGTGAGAACGGCACCAGAGGGCTTCCCGGAGGGAAAAGTGCAGCCGAGTCCAACGGAAGCCAGGCGCCCTCTCGTCCCTGCCCCATCACTCATCCCTGGTAAAACATCTAAGGATCATCTCTTTTTTGTTCCGAACTTTCCATCCTATCCTGGACTGATGCGTTGTAGGTCGATGCGTGGACCGAACCCTGAACTTCTGCAATGCTATTCTCCCGTACAACCGAACGCGGTTCCCGAACTTTGCTGGGGATGCAACGAAGGAGGATGCAGAGAACAATGTCCCTTATTTCTCCATCATTGCGGATTCTCAGTGCAACCCCAGGATCCGGTCTTTCATCTGCACTGTTCTCGAACCTCAGTGCACTAACATCGTCGGAGTCATTCCTCCATGCAGGAAATTCTGTCGAGGTTCCTCTTCACCCTTCCCCTTTCTCATTCGGATGTACCATTCTATTGACCTCCTGATGATTCACCTTGAAATTTTGCATTGGTGTAGCCGCAACGGAGGGTTGTAGCAGCTACATCGTCCCTGGCTCTCAACTGTCATCGGTGTTCGATTGTCGATTCTATCCCGAATCCCATGACCCATCTGTCTGCATCAACTTTGCTCGAGGTACGAGAGAAACCTCAATTGAACCAAAATGCACTTGTCTTGTACGTTTCCATGATATGCACGGGAAAGATTTTCATTCTCCACCCAGGAGACTCCTGCTTGCCCGGGGAATTCCAATGCCCGGATCGAACGTGCATTCCAAATGCATGGCTTTGTGATGGAGTCCGGGATTGCCCATCGGCTGCTGATGAGAGTTCCTGCACCAAGTGTGCCCCCGACGAATTCAGGTTCTTACGAATTTAGTTCTTTGAGTCATCTTTTACCATGCTTTTCCTCCCAGCGTCTCATGTGATTCCTCCACATGTGAATAGGTGTGCGGTAGAGATGACATGCATCCCAAAGAGATGGCGCTGTGACAAATCCCAAGACTGCCGGGATGGATCCGATGAACTGGGCTGTGACTTCCAGTACACAAGAGGTACTGTTTACTGGCTTTTCTCTTCTGATGTTATCTTGATTCCTTTATATTGAACAATATATTTATTATTATTAATTTCAGTTTGTGGAGACGGGATGTTCAAATGCCACGATGGCAGTGATTGCATCCCAGATCGTTGGCGCTGTGACGGGGACAACCAATGCCGAGATAATTCTGATGAGCTCAACTGCCACTCCACTGGTAAGTGCTGAATTTCTCCTATAAAATGTCCGCAGTTTCATGAATTATTGCTATTTTCGCACCTTAAAGGCATTAAAATTCATTTTTTAAATCTCTCCAAACGGTCAAAAATTGTCAAACTGGCCGATAAGAGTCGGAGTTGGTCTCTGTACCCTAGCATGCACGGGAGACGATTTCAAGTGCAGAACAGATGGGAAATGCATACCAGAAGTGTGGGTGTGCGACGGTAACGCGGACTGCGGAGATGGGAGCGATGAGCTCCATTGCTTCAACCGACAGCCCGATCCCAATTCTGCTCTGAATCGGCTGGGAGAGCAGGCGAAGTCGGCTCGTCTCCGTCCTCCTCCGCCTCCATCCCAGCAACCACAGAAGGTTGTGTCCGGTGCCCCGGCAGGGAACTCCAACCGGAGAGGCGGTGTAGGGCCGGCGACATTGCAGCAAAGCTTTTACACTAACTTTAAGGAACCTGGCCAGTTTCGTCCTCCTATGGCCCCGGTGAGGGGAAACCTCCGCAATGGTTGATTAGAGGTCTCCCATTCATGACAACGAATTCGGTTATTCAAGTAAGTCCCATAAACTCTGGCACTTCAAGATCTCAACCGAGTTCCTTCCTGGTATTCTTCTATATGTAGCGCGCTTATTTGTTTCTATTTCATCCTAGCCCGGACACGTGACATTTAAGAAGATTTTGAGGAGGAAAACATTTTGGAGACACAGACTCACACAATTGGAGGAATTCAAATGTGATAGCAACGAATACCCTTTCCCAAGAGACCTATTGCCCCCAGAACGCTCTCAAAGTTTCGCCGCATAATTGTGATGAGAGTGTGAATATTTGTGTGCAATTTTTCACGGTGACGTTGCATATGTCTACAGAGACAGATTTTTTTAATTAACATTATTTGAGAGCTGCCCCGGGTTACTACAAAGGAATTTAAATCTCGCAATTGGAAGAATGGGAATGTCTGATGGAGGATGGGCCCTGTTTCAGTGCGAGAGAGTTGGAGTGTGATTGCAATGTTGAGTTGGCATATTTATCGATTTCGATCGTCATTCCTATGGGATTCCTTTTCATCTTGCTATGCACTTCTTTTCCATGATGTCTTCCTGGAGAAGTAGAAGTGAAGCAAATGAAATCAAAGCGGATATCAAAGCCTATTTTTTTATTGAACTGAAATAATCAGACCAATGGGAACAGCACGGACCTACAATGATAAAACCAAATCCTTTTTCTGGATATATCCGAGAACAAGAAAATCATGACACAGGGAAACCCTAGACTCCATATGGAGAGCCTAAACTCAAAACTCTCATGAATTTAGTTTGAAAAACAGATCAGTTCCATACCACTCCGGAAGAAAAAAAAAGGGGCTGCGATTTTCAGATGCGAGAAGATAAAAAAAAAATAGAAAAAAACTCCTGCGCGCTATGTAAAACAGTCTTTCCCCATAAGGTCTTCCCAATTTATGTTGCATGCAAGAGGGAAGAACATCTGACTTCAATGAGGCAAGTTTTTGTAAATAATATTCTCATATAAGGTTATCCTACCTCATTTGTAAACCTCAATGATCCGATGATACAAGTTTGATGAACTCATCTGAATAGGCATGTTTTATGCAACGTTATTCCTTTACGTACAGCCTTGTTGACACTATCGAACACGCTTAATGAAACATGTATAATCAAGCTCTCGTGCACAAACGCTGCCGAGAGCAAAGCTCCGCCCCTCTCCGTTCGAGTTTTGCTATCCGGATGCAAAGAGAGTTTGGATTGGAATCAGCCCGATTCTTGAAAGACTGACTGATCCTCACGTGAGTTGTGGTATGTTATTCTTCCGTGTCCTCAGTCTTGGGTGCGATTCATTCCTCTCCAGATCATTCGTAGCCCCATGCATCATGAGTTGTGTACGAAGTCCTGAGGAAAATACAACCGCGCATCCTCTTCCAAGGGTCAGAGGCGGAGGCAGAAACAGGACGGCGTAGTACGCGATGATATTAAAACAAGGGCCGCTCCGCAGCTAGCTGTGACGAGGACCTTCGCACGTAGTCCGCATTAAGGTCGCGAAGACTTTCCAAAGGTCAATTCATTCATCGCTTTCGGAGCGCATTCGCTTCATTTCCTCGGCAGAGGATGGAATGAGCCCCGCATGCTTTTCCCCCACCTTCACCAAACCTCTCCCTGCACTTTAATCGCAATCTTCTTTGTCATATGAGTACATCCCAATGCTCAATCGAGGAGGGCTGCTCGATCAACTGCGTGAACACGTCTGCAATAGCACCTTGGGCAAAAGGGATTCTTTCATAAATTTTCATTTCTCAGACGCTGGCCATTTCCTTGCAGATAATTACTCAGACACCATAGATTGCTGACCAAGATACTGTAGTAGTTCTGGCTCTTTACTTCCCAAGCATTTCTCGTACAGCATGTAGTTAACGATATAAAAAAGTAACAGAGATGGCGACAGTTAATGTACGGCTAAGGATATGATGGGTTGATGTATATATGTCGTAGGGTTTTAAGGGATTTTTTGCAATATGGAATTTCACTAGGGTAATAAAAGGTTCCAGAAAACTCGCGGATAATCTGGAATCAATTTTATCATCAGAGTTCTAGATTTCACTTACAGTGAGATCCCAGATCACGCTGGCATTTTTGGCGAGACAAAGTAATCCCGCTTTGGCCTATTGCAATGGCAATTCAATTCAATTGGTAGTGGGAAATGTAATCAATAGAAACAGAAGAGGACGAATTGCTAATTGTAATTGAGAATAATTATACAGCAAAACTTCGCACACTTTTACTTGGCAAAATCGCATGGTTTGCCGCCATGACATTTTGCGGTATTGTCTTCTTTAGCTGGCATACGCCGCCGTTCTTGATTTAATCTTTGACAACTGCCTTTGATATAGTAGATTAGTTCTTCTAACTTCATCATAGTTAATGCACTCCAGGATTCCCACCAATATCATGAACAGGCAGCAACTCTGGCAGTTCATTCCTCGCAAATACTGGTAGTCTCTACTTGACATATTTTAATGTATTGCCTTCAACATTAAAATGTTCCTTGAGTTTAATCTTTTTCTTCGCATCCACATCGAACAGTTCAACTATACTCGAAGGAACAACGCGTTTCCATTTTCTTACGTTCATCTTCATTGCTTAGCAGTATGAGAAGTGGCATATTCACCAAACACGAGACCAGGCACAACACTCTTATCACCTGTCCGTCGCAAGGTCGACGAACAACTGAACCACCTTGAGCCAAAGACGTCATAGTGGAAGTGGAATCGGATTTTCCCCGGTTTATCCGTGTGATCTGAGATTCCACTAGTTCTGTGTAGAATTTTAAACACAAAATATTGATTTCAGATTACTCACAGATGTTCTGGAATCCTTTTCTACCCTAGTGGGATTCCAGATCACACTAAATCCCTTAAAACCCTATAACATACATATTCGCGTCACTGGCGTACACAGGATTTTAGGAAGGGCTTGAGGGGGGGGGGGGAGGATTAAGTTGCATGAAGGCTTCACTCAGTCTTCTTGTTAGGTCTGAAATCATGCACAAGCGACAAGGCTAAAGACCGAGACTACATACCTCTAATGAACTTCCTGCTGGTGTTTGTGATTCATGCATTTGTTGTGACGAACGAAAAATTAGTGAGGGGTTACCCAGGACATTCGAAAATTCCCAACATGTCTGCCTGCATTCTTTGGCATGACTTTCAGGCTGTCTTTTGTATGCTGTGAAGGAGGAACAGCTCGTGGATCCATTTGAAGCGAATTCATCATCGGAAATCGCAGACTTACATTGTGGTTCCAGGACCTAGACATTAGCTTACTTCAATCTATCGTATCCACCTCGGCCGGAGAAGCAAATTTCACGTTGTCTAGCGTAAAGCCTGGTGAGCTCTTCTTCCTATGCTATGAAGCTGAGGTTAGGCTAGGACTGATTTTAAAATGGCAGCTACAGTGGGAATTCCGTTGTGAGAATGCTGTAAAAGTACAATAGAACTTCAGTTTGGCCAAAGTCCAAACTGGACTAAGAACTGACCTGAACTGAACTACAACTGGCCTGGAGTTTTGAAATCAGTCTGTGAAAATAAAGCCTTTAATTAGGCGGCGGATTCAACGCTTTGTAGGTGTCTCGGGAAAGTAGCCCAATAAACCAGACGTTACTACTTTTAATCCATCAGTCATCCAATCACAAGGAAGTGCTGAGTCAAATACATAGTAATGCACTTAAGATATATATTGTCCAAATGGATTCTTTAGTCATATGACAGACTAACTTAAATCGACCTCCATTGAGTATGAAAATAGGCCTAAGTATCAGGTGTTCTTTGCAACTTTCCCATTGTGGTACCCTTGACAATGGCTTGTCTCCTTCCTGCTTGAGAGGAACTTATAAAAAGAAATTTTTATTTCGGGTCTCTAATGTCACTTCCACTGTAGTCACCATTCCATTGCATACTTAGTTTTTTCCTATCTTTATCTTATGACTATGTAGCCTCATTCCAATCCAACCTTAAAATGCTACTGGTACCCTTGCACATCATGTGTAATATGGCAAACTCTCCACTCATACACATATACACAGAGCAGATGCCTTTCTTTTTACCTCAGGGTTGGCATTTTCTGAGAGTGAACCTTTCATATTCTACAATTATTGCCCTCTCGTTCTCGATAGTTGAGAATAAAGAATGTTGTGCTGGCCTATGAAGCATGCTGGAATTCAACTGGGCCCCTGTTGAATCAGCATATGGAGTACATCTTATGAGGAGGAATTTTCCTGCCTTCACATCAATGACATTAGTGGGATAGTACTCTTGAGTATTGCAGCCTCACAGCCCCCATGGATGGGCCAACAAAGGGGGATCAAATCTTGATGGTGGCTTTTGTGCTGGTGATGTTGGCTTATGAGAAATACATATGAGAAATTAGTATATTAGTGTATGAGAAATCATGGCTCATGGAAGACATGCAGCTGAAGTGTCCTAGATAAATTTCAATCATGTCCTGTTGGCAAAATGGAATAATGATCAACCTGAAAGCCAGCTTTGCTTAATGAGTTGCTATGGGGTTTGTTCATTCAATGAATGAAATCATTACATGTATGTCTTACTGAATTCTTGAAGTAGGTTTTGCATTTTTTCAATATGAGAATTTCAAGCCTTCCTTTTTCTCTCCTTGCTTCATCTATATGAAATGGGAGGTGTGGTTCAACCACTATGAATGCATGTTTCAGAAAATATTAGAAACCATGAGAAGTTGAGCAATACCATTAGGCAAACTGGTTGGTTTATTTCTGTATCTAGGCAAAAAAATAGCTTCATTAAAAATTATTTATTGGTAATCAACCATGTCATTGCTCAAGTTCTTTTCTTTTCCCTTTTTAATAGAGCTAGTTGATTAATAAATTATTTAAAACTATGGGAAACTGTGCCATGAAATACAGTGCTCTGCCAGAATGAAATGAATACCCCTGTGAGTGAATAGACTTTAATTTACTAGTCAGTTATACAATTGCAATCAAAAGGACCACATATTTTGCATGTGGCCAAGGACATGCTATCAGATGCTAATATATCCATGGAAGAAATCTTATCCTGAATTTGTCTAAATCTCAAGAGATGATCTCTCTCAAGCTTTCAAACCAGAGCTCCTGTATGAACTCATCTCTTAACTGAATGCCTAGTGCTCAAAGAAAATATAATAAGACCACCAGCTGTAAAATGTCTGAGTTAGAGTGACCCTTTTCCATCTTTCCACCTTCACATTTAGTCCATCAAAAAATGATGTCATAGCAGAACTATTATGAATTATAATATGAATATTCCTCAGATTATCCATCCAACTCTGAACCCTGTATTGAACCTTGTATATGCATGCATTCTGTCTAAGCTGACATATGCCCTTTACACATTTTGTTCTTTTCTCCTAGGAAAAAGATCTCCAATTGATTATTTTGTTCATACTGTATTTTTAACTTGATGTGGCCTATCACACACATGGCATCCTCAGTCGTTGACCTCAGTCTCAGTCTGTGAGAAAATATTGTCAGTGACCTCCCGCTCCCACTTCATGACTTTGCCTTCTTCTGTCACCACAGTGGTGGTCTGACAAGGAATCCTCGCAGACTACTATGAATCCAGACTTAGAGATCCTGTTATTGTGAAAATCATGGACATCTTTCTGCTGTGGAGAGAGAGAAAAGGAAAGAATTGAGACTTTACTTGGTTCTATGAAGAACAAGACAAATAGTTATATTTATATTTTATGGAAAACTGAGCATGGAAAGATCTCTCCACTTTATTTGTGTTATATTTTGCATTCAGTTATACTTCTTTCTGCTGGTAGGTTGACAACCTTCCCAAGCTCAGGATCAGGAACATCATCATCAGAGCTTTCGATAGGAATCCCTATAGATTGAACAAAACGAAAGGTCTCAGTGTTGAGATGAAATCTTATTTTTTTTTTTACATCACTGATGTCTGGTGACTTGTGAATTATGATAACCTCTTTGCTTGCAAGGCTGGTTCTGGTGATGAAGTACGCTTTTCAACTTGGTGACCTCTTGCTTTCGCAGTTTGCAGTTTTTTTCTTGACTCTAGTGGCCGTAGCCAAAAAAATTTGCAGGAGTCAGATCTGGTGAACTCGAAGGCATTACAATGAGCTTCCGTTATCCAATCCAATCTTAAGATGAAAGTTTATGCGATAGCCAAGAAACGTTTAGGCGTTAGCAGGGGTGCCCAAAGTAGATGTTCTCTATGGCACTTTGTGTGTTGGATGCGGCCCGTACTTTGGGTACCCCTGCGTTAGAGATTATGGATGGATTTTTGAAAAGAGAACTATCAGATGATGCAGCTTTATTTCAGGGAAAATACGTTATATTTTCAGAAAATATAGCAGCATTATCTGATAGTTCTCTTTTCAAAAATCCACCCTATGATTCGTGCGGAAATAGCTGACGTTTCGGAAGATATGTTTCATTCTGGGATGAACAACTCTCCGAAGCGTTTCCTGGTCCGCGTTGACGTGCTTGGGGAATAGCGAGGCAGTGATATGATAGTGAATGAGTGAAATGTGCGCTTCCGCTATTGCTGAAATGTATGCTGGGAAAATTGAGATATAATACATATTTCCGTTTTCTTTAATGATCTACAGCCCGTCAAATTTAGGGCGGCTATTATGTATCACCCTGTTGGAGAATCGACATTATCGCAATTTTGCCCGTGTATGCATCTCTCGTGGTTTTTCATCGAAGTTCATGCAGTTCAAAGGCTAACTCAGGAGAACGTGCTTTATCTGTACAATCTCATCTGTATCCTGCATTTTTCAGCAAGGCAGGGGCGTAGAAGGTTCACGAGGTAAGAATAAAGGGAATGCAGAGTGAAGGGAGAGTTAATGCATCCCCTGACACTGGTCCTCCGGTGCAGTGCCCCGGCATGAGATCAATCATGGAGGCGGGCAAATTGGAAGCTGGGGACTAGAGAGCGCGGGAGATTGAGGAAGCGATGTACACTTTAAAGGAGAAAGGAAGGAGAGGCAGGGTCTGTGCGGCGCAGGGGCATCTCAGGGTGAGCGCGGCCTAGGTCGAGGGCCGAGCCAAGGTGGAAACGCGCATGACGCTCCTTTTCAAAGACCTCCTCTCCGATATTATTTGGTTTGGAGAAAGTTCTCGGAATTAGATTCAGCCCAGACTTGCTGGCCTGGGATGGCGATGCACACATCCATTCTGCAACCCCTCCCCCTTCGATGCATCTTGCTCCGTGTGCCTCGCTTTGTCGGCTTCGTTGTGTGTTGGTGCTTCATAATCCTTTCTTCCTTCCTTCTTTCCGCCTTCCGTGATCCGTATCCCCCCGCCTTCCGATCTTCTCCAGTGATTGCCGCTTCCTCGTCAGAATGATTGCTTCTTAACCCTTGTAATGCCATTGTGACAGCATCTGTCTCACAAACCCTTCCAGTTGCGCGATTCTGAATTTGGCATTACAAGGGTTAATTCTTTGCTGCCTTGTTTACTTTCACTTGAGTTCCACCCTTGATTGATTCCAAAGCCCATTTATGATTCCTCATTTGCAATAGTGTAAGTCACTTGAAAGGCTGTCGGACTCAAACCGGAAGGAGGGAGTACTTGTATTATTTGTCAGATTTCAAAACTGCATTCCAGTCACAGTAGCATTTCAGTTCCGGTTGGGATTTCTTTGTGATTGAAATGCGACAAGAGCAGAGTGGGGCTTGTCATACCTAAGCCTGAACTGAAGCTAGAACAGAACTGCAACTGAACTGCTGTTTTGAAATCAGCCATTGAATAGGTAGGTTATCAATGGAGCATCCACTCACGTGAAATGTCAAGACGGAAAATACTGGAACCCTCTTGTTCGCTTAATGTTGGTGGGATTGGCGGAGGCGTGAGTTCTTTCACTGTGAGGGAATCCCACTGGCCACCTCTAACCCTAATGGAGAGGGACGGTGGATAATGGAACCTGAAATCGCATTATCCTTTCGCCCGGGTCGGATTGTGTCTATACATTATTCAATCATGTAAACATCATCTGGCGAGTGTCAAGGTCGAGCGGCTCAGGGTTCGTTCGTGACGAGTCTGAAGAGATCAGCGATAAGCTGTGCTGAGATAGGAGTGAAAACTTCGTTATAAAAAAGTAGGCCTACAGCTTGTGAGGGTCGTTTTAATCGTTGTTTCCCGACGTGTTACCGCCTTCTCCATTTGTGTTTTTCGTGTTTTTCACAGAGTGTGGTGCAGAAACCTCATCCTCACGCATCCTTTCTTTCGCATAATACTATGCTGGAAATGAATTATCTGTGATTGATGTTAACATTCAAGGTCGAGGATAATTTGGCGTGCTCGCGATTGGCTGGAAAAGCAGAACGCATGCTCTGAAGATAT